TCACAACAGTACATATATCCACATGATTTATGACTATGATGTTGACCTTGATCTCCTGGCCAAAGTACTGTTTATAAGGTTTCTCCGCTGTAAAGTTATTCTCTCCCCCGTTCCATACTGTCTTCTCTTTGGAAGGAAATCACTGTGTACAACCTACACTTAAGGTGTGGGTAGTTATGCCCCCAGTAATGCACTTTTTAACACCTTTGACAAAGTGCCCAGTACACAGAAGTACTCTGTAAATGTTACCCCAAGTAATATTTTTCTAATGTTTTTATCATCTTTTCTTCTCTGTGAAGATTAAACGTGTAAGACAATTAAGGAAATAAGATGTGTAACCAGTTAGGCCTGGCCTTGGTACAGTTTAGTGATTAAAGGAGATAAAACATTTAAGATCCTGGCACAGGGCCTGGTAGCTGCAAGTACTCAATAAATATTAGGTTAAAAAAAAAGTAGCTGACATCTTTACCTAAAGGAAATGAGGGCATGTGTCAACATAGGCTTGTATGTGAATGTTCACTGCAGCTTGATTCAAAACAGCCCCGAACTGGAAACAACCCACATGTCCAGCAACAGTCAAATGGATAAACGCATTATGGTACATCCAGACGATGGAATGCTACTCAGCAATGAAAAGGATGAGCTACTGGTACACACAACTATGTGGATGATTTAGAAGCATTATGCTAGTGTAGGAAGCCAGGCCCAAAAGAGCAGGCACCATTTATATGAAGTTCTGGAAGAGCAAAATCTATACTAATGGGAATCAGATCTGGGGTTTCCTGGTACAGCGGAGGGGAGGAGATTAGAGGCACAAGAGAACCTGCTGGGGGGCAAGAAATGTTCCATATCAGAGCTCAGCACACTAGGGCCCAAGCACCACAAATACTTGTAAACAAAGTATTATGGGAATGCTGCCACCCCCTTGTTGACATATCGTCTGCTTTCACACTACAACAGCAGAGTTGAGTTGTTGTAACGGAGACCTTGTGGCCTGCCATGCCCAAAATATTTACTGTCTGGCCCTTTAAAGAAAGTTTTCCAACCTCTTAGGTTCTATATAGTTGTAGAATCTATATCTTGACTTGGGGGGTGGTTAAACAGGTGTGTCCATATGTAAAAAGGCCACGAGCTGTGCCCTTCCCTGTAAGTTATACCCAATTATAAAATGAGCCAAGGTTTGGGGAGGGGAAGGGGCTTGTCCCAGTCTCACGGGAGCCCAGAACTTGGTGAACAAGGAACCTGGACTCTGAATCTCTGCAAGGCCACACCTCTGTGGCTATCAGTTACTTCTCATCTGTAGCTATTTCTGTCATTATGGCCTCATTTAGAGGTGTCCTTAGTCAGAGCTGTTGGTCATTAGATAGGGCCTCTGGAGACATCTCAGCTGCCCTTATTATGCAAATGAAGTTGCCGAGGCCCAGTAGGGGTAAGGGGCTTGCCCAGGATCACACAGCAATGTGGTGACAAGAGATGAGGCCCCCCAGTGCTCAGTCTAGCTCACTTGTAGCTCTTGGCCACATGGCTTTTTGGTTGTCCTGGGAGACAGAGGCAGTGTGTACACAGCATCCCATCATATGCAGTAGGAGCTCTAATAATGCCCCGGACCTACTGCAGTGCAGTTCCAGGGCGTAAAATGGCACTGCTTTAGGAGGCAGGTAGATATGCCTCTTCCCATCCCATGGCTGCCACTTCCAAGCCATGTGACTGCGGGACGGTGGTTCCACTTCTAAGAGCCTCTTCTCATCCAAGAAGTGGGGATAATAAATGAGGCTATCTCAGGTGGTAACAAGTACTGTGACCTAGAGTACCTGCCTGGGAGGATGGATTTAGTCAGGGGAGTTGGGCAACCTCTGTCCTGAGCCTGAAGGCTGAGGAGGAGCCAGCCACAGGGATCTGTAGGGAGGGGATGGGGTGCTGCGTAGTGGAACAGCAAGTGCAGAGCCCTTCTTTGGCTTCTGCCTCCTAAAGTCTAACGATCAGTGGACTCCATACGTTGTCATTCACAACTGCCTCCATTCTCTGCTGTGTTTCACAGCTATTCCCCCTTGGACCTTTTTTCCCTAGTGGACAGTGAGCTAAAGGTCTGGTGCATCTCTGGCTCTGGAGCTTGGCACATACTAGGTCCTCTGGGAATGTTGCTTGATTGACTATGTGACTGAATAACACTGACAATTAAAGGTACTGAGGGCTTACTATGTGCCAAGCACTATACTGAGTGCTTTATTAAGCCCCTAATATGTGGGGGTCTGTAAAAGTTCATGGAAAATACATATTATGAAAAGACTATGCATGGATTGCAAAATTTTTTTGCACCAAAATAAACTCATACTAACTTTTTATAACATGTCTGAACAGGATCTAGTTCAAGGCACTGAGAAGGATAAGACATCAGTTTGAAAAGAGCCTCTCTCAGAGCAACATGAATCCTGCTAAAGTCAAAGCAAGAACATCAAATTTATGGTGAAGCTTGGGAAGAAGAATGGTGAAATCGTTGATGCTCTATAAAAAGTTTATTGGGGGGCTGTCCAGTTAGCTCAGTTGGTTAGAGCGTGGTGTTGTAACACCAAGGTCAAGGGTTTGGATCCTTGCACTGGACAGCTGCCAAAAAAAAAAAAAAAGGAATAAGATGATGTTGGAGATGAATCCCACAGTGGCAGACCATCCACATCAATTTGCAGGGAAAAAAATAATCTTGTTCGTGCCCTAATTGAAGAGGATGGCAATTAACAGCAGAAACAATAGCCAACACCATAGACATTTCAAACGGTTCAGCCTACACAGCTCTGACTGAAAAATTAAGGTTGAGCAAATTTTCCACTTGATCAGCTGTAGACAAGAGCAGAACTTTTAATGGAAACTTTAAACAAGTGGGATCAAGATCCTGAAGCATTTCTTCAAAGAACTGTAACAGGAGATGAAACATGGCTTTACCAATACAATCCTGGAGATAAAGCACAATCAAAGCCACGGCCACCAAGAGGTGGAAGTGGTCCAGTCAAAGCAAAAGTGGACCAGTCAAGAGCAAAGGTCATGGCAGCAGGTTTTTCACAATGCTCAAGGCATTTTGCTGCTGCTTCTTGACTTTCTGGAGGGCCAAAGAACACTAACATCTGCTTATTAGTGTTTGAGAAAGTTAGCCAAAGTTTTAGGAGAAAAACGCCCAGGCAAGCTTCACCAGAGAGTCCTTCTCCACCACGACAATGCTCCTGCTCATTCTTTCATCAAACAAGTACAGTTTTGTGAGAGTTTCAATGAGAAATCATTACAGTCCTGATTTGGCTCCTTCTGACTTTTTTTTGTTTTCTAATCTTAAAAAATCTTTAAAAGGCACCCTTTTTTTTTTTTTTTCAACTAATAATGTAAAAGACCAAGGTCAAGGGTTCAGATCCCCAGACTGGCCAAAAAACAAATACAAAATATAATGTGAAAAAGACTGCATTGACATAGTTAAATTCCCAGGGCCCTCAGTTCTTCATGGATGGACTAAATGGCTGGTATTATTGCTTACAAAAGTGTCTTGAACTTGATGGAGCTTATGTTGAGAAATAAAATTTATGTTTTTTATTTTAATCTTTTAATCCCATTTTTTCACAAACTTTTTGAAGTCACCTCATATGTGCCAGGAACTGGGATACAACCATGAACAAAAGAGACTAAAACCCTGGCCCTTGTGGAGGCGGCATTCTTGTGAGGAGAGACAATAAACAAACAAGAAAGAAGTTAAAGGTGATAAGGACTTGGAGAAAAATGAAGACGGAGAAGAGATAGGAAATGCTGGAAGATGGGGCAGTTACAATTTTAGATGAAGTATCCAGGGAGGATGTTTGAGTGAAGACCTGAAGGAGGGGAGGGAATGCGCTGTGTTGCATCTTAGGAGAATGTTCCAGACAGAGGGAGAAGCAAATGCAAATACCCAGAGGCGGGTAAGGATGGGCAGGGGAAAGAGAATAAGCCAGTAGGGCTGGGGTGTTACCTGGGGCAGGTTGCTGGCCACTCAGCCTCGGTTTCCCCATGTGTACAGTGATGGTGGTACATCCTCCTGTGTTAGATTTGGAACTGAAGCCAGGGTAAAAGCCCAGCTCTGCCACTTGCCATGTGTGTGACCCCAGCCCAGTGACTGCTCTCCAAGCCTCCATTTCCACCTCTGTAAAGTGGGAATAAAAATACTACCACCTTCTAGCAGATGGTGAGAATTCATTGAGATCCAGCAAGTAAAGCACTGGTGCCTAGCACTGAGAAAGTGTCCAATAAATGGTAGCCACTATGGTTTTGTACTCACCATCATTCCCATCTTACGAGAGGAAGCTGGGGCACAGAGAGGTTAAGTAATATACTCAATGTCACACAGCTAGCAAGTGGCAGCACTGGAATTTGAGTCCAAATCAAATGGCTCTTAACCTCTATGTTATACTGAACCCTCAAGTGACTGAATGGTGTTAGAGTCTCTGAGGGGCCCCCATTCCACTTCTGAACAGATTGAGAGTAAAGACAAGGGAAAGGCTGCTGGAGGCCAAATTACCACATTTATTGCAATAAAAGCTAGTATTGGGGGGCATAGCTTCTATCTGAAGTTAAGGTACATCCTAACGTCAAACCCAGAAGGACATGTCTCCAGTCCCAGCAGCACCAGAGCAGAGTGGGCTTCTCTGCATGGGGTGACTGTGGGACAGAAAGAAGCAGACAGCTAGCTCCTAATAAGGAAAGGTTGGGCTGATCTGAGCACGCTCAGTTTATTCTCTCCAGACCACCTAAACAGATGAGTCCAGGCATCCCCCCTGGGGCAGAGCGAGTGATGGGTAGATGGAGGCCAGGAGTGTTGTACCTAAGGCTCCATCCTCAGGGGAGAAAACATCCCAATAGAGAAGGGACTCCTTCCTAACAAATGAGGAGTGAGCAGACAAGTGAGTGAATGAATGAGCTATTCCCTGATGGGGAGGGGACAGGGATATCCCTCTGTGTGTCCCCCTACCCCCTGCTCACCCTCCTCTTGTCCACAGTTGCAGGGGCTGTCATCGCTGACTTCTTGTCTGGTCTGGTGCACTGGGGTGCTGACACGTGGGGCTCCGTGGAGCTGCCCATCGTGGGGAAGGTGCGTATGTCAACCCAGCCTGTCTCCTCCACAGGGAGGCTGGGCTGCATGACCTTGGGTGAGTCCCCTTTCCTCTCTAAGCCTCGGTTTCCCCCTCTGAAAGATGGGAACCACCATCCCAGCCTGTCCTCCAAGACTAAAACAGGACCCCCCCAGCATTTTGTGGAAGCAAAGAATCAGGTGTGGGATGGTCAGAGAGCTTTGTTGTGTACCTGCCTCACTTGAACTTGGAGCCTATGTCTTGTTCTTCCTTTCGCCTCCCTTGCCGTGCCACACTGTTGCTTAGTTTTAATTGGATTTTATCTTGTATCAGTCAGACATCTTTGGTTGTGACAGAAAATCTAAGCCAAATTTGCTTAATCAAACAGGGGCACTGATTCATGTAACTGAAAATTTCAGGGTTAGAGCCAAACCAAGGCATGGCTGGGTCCAGTAGGACAGACAGTCAGACCACATTCTTCAGTCTCTCCATCTCTGTCTGGGCTTTCCTCTTCTGAGGTGGCCACAGTGGCTCCCAGCTGCCTAGACATCCATCCTTCCAGCTTCCAGGAGAAGAGAACTTCTCCTTTCCCATAGTTTCAGCCAAAGTCCCATGGCTCACTCCCATTGGCCCAGCCTGGATCACATGTCCATGCCTCAGCCAGTCACTGTGGCCAGAAGGATGGACTGTTCTGATTGGCCAGGCCATGGTCACACGCTCACTCTCAGCTAGGGGCTGGGGTCAGTCCTATCAGAACAGCTTGTACTAAGAGAAGGGGAGGTTGTTGCTGGAAGGAGGCACTCGGATGCTGTGGAGAGGGTCCTACCTGTTACTGTGAGGGGCCTCTTCAACTGTCTTAAGATGGGGAAGAAGGACAGAAGTTGTCTCCAAGCCCTCTCACAGCACAGATGGGGAGACTGAGGCCCAGAGGGGGCCTGTGCCAGCCCAAGGTCCCTGCCAGGGTCATTTCAACCCATCTTCTGGTGTAGCTGCTAGACATAGACCCTAAAGGCTGGGTGGGTCTGTATCAGCAGCTTGGTGGCAATGATCTAGCATACTAGGTGGAGGGAACTGTGGGTGCACAGGCAGGAAGGTGAGCCCTAACATGTTTAGGGGGTTGTGGAGAGCGGCTGGCCACTATGGGCTGATGGGCTGAGCTGTATCCCCACTCCCAGGCTTTCATCCGACCATTCCGAGAGCACCACATTGATCCGACCGCCATTACACGGCACGACTTCATTGAGACCAATGGGGACAACTGCCTGGTGACACTGCTGCCACTGCTCAACATGGCCTACAAGTTCTGCACCCAGAGTCCTGGTGAGTCACACCAGCTGGTGGTGGGGTGGGAGGTGGTCGCCAGGGACAGAGCCTCATCCCTGTGAGCCTCCTGGGGCTTATGTGCATGTAGTGTTTTAAATATTTTTCATTAGTTGTCTTCCTATAAAGTTGGGATATTTGACATAAAGAGCTGGGTTTCAAGCTTCTCTTGAGCAATCTGATCTGGCTACTCTGGGTCCTTGTTCCCACCTGGCTTCACTGGGCCAGAGCTGAGCTGCGGCCACCCTGTTTGACAGGATGCATGCTCTCTAGTGTACCATAGTCCCCACTAATCCCTGCTGTCCTGTACCCAGCCTACCTTGTTCATTTGCATTATCTGCCTGGTCCTGGGAGCTGTTTTGGTTTTGCTACCTTGGCTTAGTGGAAAGAGTATAGGCTGTGAATTCAGTCCTGAGTTCAGATCTCTGCTCTGCCTATTTTGGGAGGAAGTTGTCCCAAAGCAAGTCACTTTATCACTCTGAGCCTCAGTTATATCATCTGTCAGGTGGAGCTAAGGTGGGCCAGATCCTATTCTAACAACTAAGCACATCACAGATCCTTAGAGCAATCTCCCTGTGGGTAGAGATGATGAGTATCCCCTTCCCTGCCCATTCCCCTCTCCAGGGGTGGGGCACCCCCATCCCACAGACTCCATGTATGGTGGCTGCTAACAGCTCCCAGCTACACCTTAGCACCCCAGCTCCCTGCACAATCAGGCTGAGACAAGACTCCACCCACCCATCTTTGCTTAGCTCCTCCCCTGCTCTGTCCTGCTTCCCTCGCTCCCTTAGATGTATTTCCTGAAGAGAGACTTGCCCGATAAAGCACATGCACATGAACCCATGTCAGCCTCTGCTGTTAGGGAACGTCAGAAAGGCATTATTCCCATTTTACTGATGAAAAATTGAGACTCAAAGGGGCAGAGTTGCCGACCCATGCTCGTACAGCCAACAAATGTCAGAGCAGGGATCTGAGCCCAACTCTGGCTGACTCCAGAGCCCATGTTTTTAGCCATTACTTGTTGCTTACACTATTATCTGCCCATTGAGCAGAAAGGGAAGACTGAGGCTCAGAGGGGTGTCTGAGCTTGCCTGAGGCTATTTGGGAGGTTGGAAGGAGGCCTGGGTGAGACGGGAGCTGCCTGGGGCAGGTGGTGAGGGCCAGGTTTGCATCGGGCCCCACCCCACATGACAGCTGTGCAGGTCCCACGGGCACCCTCTCCTCCCCCTGCAGAAGCCCTGGAGCAGCTGTACCCCTGGGAGTGCTTCGTCTTCTGCCTGATCATCTTCAGCACCTTCACCAACCAGATCCACAAGTGGTCGCACACATACTTCGGGCTGCCACGCTGGGTCACCTTCCTGCAGGACTGGCATATCATCCTGCCACGTAAACACCATCGCATCCACCATGTCTCACCCCACGAGACCTACTTCTGCATCACCACAGGTGCGGCCACCAGTGGTGTGGAATGGGCTGCCCCAACCCCAGCTGCAGCACCGTCATCAGGGTCAGGCAGGCAGAAGTCACGTGGGAGATCATGCAGTTCTTGCCCTCCCAGAACGTTTTTTCTCTGAACACACATTTATTGAGCATCTCCTGTGTGCTGGGCACTCTTCTAGGTGCTATGAACACAGCCATAAACAAGACAGACAAATCCTCTTGCCCCCGTTCATGTAGTTGTGATTCCAACCACTCATCCATCCAGCAAATATTTACTGAGCACCTACTATGTGCCAAGCACTGTTCTGGGCTCAGGATAAAGCAGTAAACAAAACAGGCAGGAATCCCTGCCTTGTGGCACTTCTAGAAGGGGAGACAATAAATAAAATATGTCTTGCGTCAAGTGTGTATGTGGAGGAAAATAAAGCAGGGAGTGGAAAAGAAATCTGAGGCTTTGTGCCTTAAATAGTGTGTTCAGGGAAGACATCGAGAAGGCCACATTTGAACAAAGACCTGCAGCAGCTGCGGGAGACAATCTTGCAGACCTCTGGAGGAAGTTCACTCCAGGCAGCAGGAGCAAGAGGTGCAAAGGCCTGGAACGTGCTTGCCTGGTATATTTGAGGAACAGCAAGGGGGCTGGGGTGACTGCAGTGGGGGGAGTGTGGGAGAGAGCGAAGAGAGAGGGAGGGGAGCAGCCATTTCTACAAGGAGGTCAGAAATCTGAAAGAAGTGTGGGAGGGGCCCTGAAGATAAATGGGGACAGACCAGTCCAGGCAAAAGAGACAGCAAGTACAAAGGCCCCAGGCAGGAACGTGCTTGGTGTGATTGAGAAACAGTAAGGAGGCCCACAAGCCACTCTCGCTAGTGGGCCCGTGGGAAAGGGCAGAGGTGAGATGAGCAGATTTTCCAGGGCCAGCCAGGCTTCTTTCAAGGTCAGGTATGTTAGATAGAGGTGCTGTCGAATCAGGCCACCTCAGGTTCAACCCTCAGCTCTTCCATGTGTGCCTTTAGGAAACTCACAAACCTCCGTGGATATTGCTTTTCTCATTCCCAAAGCGGGGCTGCAGGCTCCTCCCTCACACACCACCTTCACAGGGCTGTGATGGGAATGGTCAGATGGCCAACGTGAAGTGCCTGGCACACAGTAGGCGCTCAATGAGCTACAGCTACTATGTAAGTCTTTCTGGAGGCAGAACTGAGAGCCACAGAAAATGCACGTCCTAAAGTCATGTTCCTTGGAGGGCAGGTGGAGAAGTTAGAATTTAGATTATTTAGGAGATGAGTTAACTACTCAGGCAGGCCTGGGTTCAAATGCTGGTTTTGCCCCCTACTCATTGGGAGACTCCTCCCCAAGCTTCAGTCTTCTTGTGAAAATGGGACTAATGTTAGTATCTGCCTCAGGGTGGGGATGGGAGGCTGGAATGTGGATTAAATAAGGTGAGCAGTATTTACTGAGCAGCTCCTGTGTGCCAGGCACTATTCTAGGCACTGAGAGTCAGCAGTGGGAGAACATGGTGTTCTGCCTCTCAGAGCTGACATTCTAGTTGGGGGGAAGAACCAACACAAAACAGGAAATAGCAAATTAACAAAGATGGTTATAGGCTATCATAAAGTCTATAAAGAAATAAAAGAGGTGACATGACAAACCTGCTTAAGCAGGTGATCAGGGAAGGCTTCCCAGCAGACGTGGCATTTGAGCTGAGTGACAAGAAGGCTGCCACCATGCCTAGCATATAGTAAGTGCTCAGTAAGAAGATGAATGAATGAATGGGAGATGAAGGCACATCTGAGGGGCCCCTAAGCCTATTGGTAGGAGGCCCCCACTCCCAGATTCCTTGTCCCCTCCCTCTGCAGACTCACTCTTGATTGAGGCCCCACACCTCAGTCAGGGCCAACTCTCTCCCAACATCCCCTCAACTACTACTCCCCGCTTAACAGCCCCACTCCCCCCATGCCATTTCTACTGCAGGCTGGCTCAACTACCCACTGGAGAAGATAGGATTCTGGAGACGCCTGGAGGACCTCATCCAGGGCCTGACGGGCGAGAAGCCTCGGGCAGACGACATGAAGTGGGCCCAGAAGATCAAATAACTTCTCTGAGCCTGCCGCCTGGTTGCCAACCTTTCTCAGCCCCCAAACCGAAGCCATCTGCCAAATTCCAGCCTCTTCAAGCTGGTCCCTCCAGGTGGAGAGGACATGTCCTGGGCTGGGCCCAGGCATCCCCAGCCCACCCCTCGTGACACAGAATACTTGAGCCACTGATTTTTCATTTCCTTTTTTCATTTTCTTTCCTTGCCTCCTCCCCAGCCACCTGAGCTACTCTGTCTGCCAAGCCTGACTGCAGAAAAGGGAGCCCCCCACTGCCAGCCGTCCCTCGGGTAGAGACGAGGCTCACCCACTCCCAGCACACCTGCTGCCCCCTGCCCTGCTGGACAGCCCTTCAGCATAGCTGGCATTGGGGCTACTGAATTGCCTCTATCTGTCCCTCTTGTCTGGCCCCAGTGGTCTAGGGAGCCACCAGGCACACCTTAGTGTCCTTGGAGCATTGTTCTGCCATGGCTCGGCAAACTGACCCCAGAGGCCTGGGTGGGTGGGCAGCCCCAGCCACCACCTTCATCCCAGCTTATCTACCCAAGGATGGCAGAGCTCAGCAAGGGTCTGAAGGCAGCTGGCCAGAAGAGGCCAGAACCTCCTGCCCAAGTCTAGATGTCCCCATCTCCCTGGCCCCCACCCCCATCTGCCCGTGGGATTCCAGCCAGACTGATGTTTCCAGTACATGGACATCTTTGCAGGGCACAGCCCCTGCAAAGAGTCTTGGTCATTTGGAAGGGGAAACAGTGTTCCCTCGGCCAGGGTGTGTCAGACAAAGAGTGGGGCTTTTTGTTTTTTGGGCTTTTTTTAAAGGTGCTTGCTTGTTTCATGTAAATAATAGAAAGCCTTAATATCTTTTCTGTAACACGGAGTAATATTTTAATGTCATGTTTTAGATGTACATAATATATTTATAACAAAGCAGCAAAAGTCTACTTAACCACGGCTGCCTCCTGGTGTTTCCTGGTTGGCTGGTGGGTGGGGAGGGTGTTAAGGAGCCTGGAGTGTGAAGCCCTATCCCCTTCCAGCTCTTCCCAACCGTGGCCTCAGGATGGGGGCTTTATCACATGAGAGTAAATTCATGTTGACATCTGCTCCAAACACTTTTGGAAGAGACTCTCAATTTTGGTGAGGAGTGGCCTTTCAAGTAGATCACGATGATAGACTAATGAAGGCTGATCCCTGTTTGTGAATTCCTCCAGCAAATGTTTATTGGCTCCCAGTGTGTGCCTGGACACTGGGGTACAACAGTGGGCAAACCGACAAGGACCTGCCCTGGTGGAGTTGACCTGGGGAGAGAGACAGTAAACATAAATAAATGCACATGGAAATTCAGATGGTGATTTGTGAAGAAAACCAAAAAGCAGGGTGGGGGCTGCTTTGGCAGGGTGGTCATCGAGGACCTCTGAGGAGGTGACATTTGAGCTGAGACCTGGAGAAGATGGAGCCAACCAAGGAAAGAACTGAGGGAAGAGACCACTTGATGGGACAGCAAGTGCAAAGGCCCTGAGGCAGGAACAAGCTTGGGGTTTTTGAGATGGCAAGGCAGCTAGTACTATGGCTGGACTGGAGTGAGCATGGGGAAAGCAGAAGATGAGGATGGAAAAACGAGGACTTATACTGAGCCTCAGGCTGAGGTGAGTGGAGAGCCACTGGGCATTTTAGATAAATAAGTAACTTGTTTATTCATTGAATAATTATAAGGTACCCTGTGCACCAGGCATTGGGATTCAGTAGTGAACACAGCAGACGTTATAATCAGTGTCTAGTCTATATAGTTTCTGCAATATCGGCCAGAAAAAAAGACTGTTGGGGACAAGAAAATGATGAAAGACTCTAGAGCAGTTGCAGATATGGCATTTATTTTTTAAAATGTTGCTGGGAACACCAAGATCCAGGGTTTAATCCCTGTACAAGCCAGCAAAAAAAAAAAAAAAAAAAAGTTTTTAAAAATGTGACTCAACTTCATTTTCCTTAAAGTTTGCCCACCACTAGACTTTTGATTTGTGACTATCTGAGGGGACCACAAGAGGAAGGGGTGTTAGGATTGTCAACTCATAAATAAAGGAAAACTAAAGCAAAAAATTAACAGCTAGAATAATTGTATTAATTCATAAGACAAGACAGTCCGCAGGTGGTTCTGACTTAAGATTTGGCAGGACCCAGAGGCTCACATGATTCATCCGAACTTGGTCTCTCTGTCTTGGTTCTGTTTTTCTCTGAGTTGATACTGGCTGGACCCCCTGCACAATCTCAATGGGAAGAGCCTTCCCAGTAGTTGCAAAGTCCCAGGGCCTGGATTGGGTCATGTGCCTACTCCTGAACCAATCACCTTGATCAAGGAGGTGAAATGTTCTGATTGGCCAGGGGTAGGACATATCCACTTGCAGTTGCGGGGGTGAGATCAACCCTTCCCAAGCCACAGGAGGGAGGGAGGTTCCCAGAAAGAAATTAAGATGTCTTTACAAAAATAAGTCTGGTGGAAGCGGTAGGCAACCAAACTCTTTGGAGGGGCCAGATGAGAGCCTTGGGGCTGTGGGGGGTTGGTTTCCTGTTCTCAGGCCCTACTAACCTGTGTCAGTTCCCCTGGAGCCCACAAATAAATCAACCTGAGTCCAGACAGGTAAGGTGACTCACCCAAGATCCCATAGCTACTAATGGCAGAGCCAGGCCTCAAATTCTAACCATCATAGGGTTGGTCCGTAGCTCACTTGGGAGAGTGTGGTGCTGATAACAACAAGGCCAAGGGTTCGGATCCCTATATAGGTATGGCTGGTTAACTCACCTGGGAGAGCATGGTGCTGACAACACCAAGTCAAGGGTTAAGATCCCATTACTAGTCATCTTTAAAAAAAAAAAAAAAAAAAAAAAAAAATGACCCTCATGCTTCTGAATTCCAAGGGCTAGAAAAAAATACTTTTCACAACCAGAAGAAAAGGGCTGGCCAGTTAGCTCACTTAGGAGAGTGTGGTTCTGAGTACACCAAGGTCAAGGGTTCAGATCCCTGTATTGGCCAGCCACACACAAAAAAAATACCACCACCACCACCAAAAAAACAGAAGTGTTGGTGCCAGTTGTGAGATAAGAAGATTGCAAACAAGTTCCCATGAGGGCCGTGCAAGGAAAAATGCTACTTAATATCTACTGAACACTTAGCACTTGCCAGACTGTGCAGAGAGCTCTGGCCCAATCCCATCAAGCAGTCCCTTGCATCTATGAGAGGTGAGTACTCTCAGCATCATTTGACAGATGGGGAAACTGAGGCACGGAGGTCATGTAACATGTCCAAGGTCACAACGCTGTCACACAGCTAGTAGGTGGCAGGACCGATATTTAGGTCCAGGCATGATTCAGAGTCCTTGCACTGTAACACTCGCCCGCTGCCCCACTGGAGGGAGAGAGGTGATGCATGCAGCAAGTGAGAAAAATGTCCACTATGAGAAAACAGCAGAACACATGCGAAAGGGCAGCTGACACTGGGGACTGGGATGACCTTAGAGACATCAATCCCCAAAGGGCAGCTGCTACTCACATCAGCTGATTAAAGAGAAGCCAGAAATCCAGATTTCAAAAATGCTGGCTCCATGTTTAAAACATACCTTGGGCAAAATAAAACAAGTGTATGGGCCAGCTTCTGCCTGCGGCCTCCCAGTTGGTGCTGGATGGCTTTGTTTTAGGTGGACATGTGCTGCTATCTGCTGGTGGAGCAGAGTAGGTGGCATACAGGGCAAACAGGTTCCCTGCTGACTTGGGAATGTCACGCATCCCCCTCTGTTCTTCCTTCTCTTTAGAGGTGGTGTGGGCATACACCTCAGGGCACCTGCCCCCAACTTTAACCCCATCCCCTTTTGAAAAGCCAAAAATTCTCAAGCTATCCTTTAAAATATTATTTTGTTAATAGGTAATGCATGCAGAAAGTAAAGAGTGAGAATCAAACAATACCAAGGGAGCTGGAGCAGGGGTCAACTCGCTATGGCCAGTAAGCTAAATCTAGCCCACCTGTTTTACTGTGGTCCATGAGCATTTTTTTAAATGGTTGAGTGTAAAAAGAATATTTCACAACGCAAGAAATTCATATTTCTGTTTCAGCTGTAAAGTTTAATTGGCACACAGCCATGCCCATTCATTCACATACTGTCTGTGGCTGTTTTTGCCCTGCAGCAGTAGAACTGAATGGTTGCAAGAGACCAAATAGCCTGCAAGCCTAAAATATTACTATCTGGCCCTTTACAGAAAAGGTTACTGTTGGGAAAATAGAATAGTTTGGTCAGGGCCCTCGCCTCAGGTCCAGTTGGGTGTGGTTCAGCATCCTTTGTAAGCAAATTTTGTATGTGTGTGTGTGTGTGTAGTTAGTGTGCATGCACGCCAGTGTATCTTTTTTAGTTTCGTTGCTATTGTGTTGAGAGTGAGAGAGGAAGAGGAGAGGGAGAGAGCGGAGGGGGAGAGGGAGAGGAGAGTTTTAGTGAAACAGGTGGGCATCCCCGGGCAGCTATGCTTTCTAACCTACAGCCTCCAAGGACCTTTTGGCCAGTTACCTAGCTCATAGACCTGCGTTAAGGGGTCTGGGTACCCCGCCTGGCATGTGAAGGGTTTGTGACCCAGTCTGTGAACGGGCTTGAGGGGTCTGGGAGCTCCAGACCCAGCCCTAGCTTTACAGTCGGCCCAGTCAGTGCAGGATTACAAGCGGGTAAAAGAGCCCGACAACTAGCATGGTCGTGGTCGTCTAGCTTTACAACTGGCGTCACGAACAGGATTAAGAGCTAGACAGTTACCAATCCCTAGCCTAGAGTGAAGAGTGAATTGCTTCCCAATTCATATTGAGGTCCCCTCCTCACAGGCCATCATTTCAACAAGACCTTTGCAAGTCCTTTATATTAGGCATAGAGATATGTCTACCCACACCCCAGCCCCACTTTTTTCACCCGATCATTGGATATTATGCACACAGTTCTGGACCTTACCTTTTTTCACTTAACATTTTTGGAGACAGTGTTACTATCAATACCCAGAAAGGTTTCTTATTCCTTTTCACAGCTGTGTAGTATTCCGACTTTGGGATGGACCTGACCTTTATTTTTTTAATCCCTCTCTCATTGGATGTTGAGGTCATTTTCATCTTGGGTATTACAAACTGATGTTCTGTGCAATAGAGAACTTAAGTCTTTGCTCATAAGGGCCAGGGAATCTGAAGGGGTCAATTCCTAAGAATTGAATTGCTGGGTCAAAGGGTGTTTGTGTTTTAAATTTTGTTAGCACACACCAAATCGTCTTCCACAGACGCTGTGCCTGTTTAAACTCTTACAACTTTTGAGAGGTGCTTATTTCCCCACACCCTTGCTAACACAGTGTGTTTTCAAATGTTTTGTTCTTAGCCAATCTGATAGGTGGTTTTAATTTGCATTTCTCTTACAGTATTTCATTGAATCTAAGGTATCATTTATATCTAACATGCATCCTGATTTCAGAGATGTTTGAATATAAAAATTTGCATCATAGAATAATTGAAATACAATATGTGGAGTGAGACTAGGTATTTTATTGTGGGTTTAGAAGGTATTTTCATTTCCTCATCTGTTCATGTCCTTTTCATATTTTTCTTGTAAGGCAGGATAGTAGTGGTTAAGAGATTGGAGTTCAAATCCCAGCTCTGCCACTTACAAGCTTGTGACTTTGGGCAAGTTACTTAATCTTTCTGTGCCTCAGTTTTCTCATCTGTAAAATGGGGATAATAATGGTACTTACCTCATAGGAGAGTTGCGAAGATTAAATGAACTAATATACATAAAACATTATGTCTCTGGAACATAGTAAATGCTTGATAAATGCTTGCTATGATTATCATCTTTCTTTGGAGTTATCTTTATTCTTGGTAAGTTGCAAGGGCTCTTTATAAATTAGGGAAACTCAACACCAAGGTCAAGGGTTCAGATCCCCATACCA